CCTCAAAAATACATAAATCGAGATGTAGAAAGCATGATTAGGGCTAACTCTAGCCCCAAGAGGATGTCTAGCCACTCATGGATGATGTCCTCCAACCCTCAAGGGCAAGCTCCATGGAAGAAATATGCTCCTTGTTTGATGAAGAGCCTCCAATGGTATCTCTAGCCTACTCCTCTCCTTTGCTTCCTCTCTAAGTATAAAAGTATATAAGTCTCCCTCAAAAAGTGGTTCATATTCCTTATATAGGTAAGTCAAAAATTACCCAAAATGAGCTGGGCTCGTACACCAATAATCCTCTAATGATTGGATATGAGATAACTTTTAATGAGTTGGAATTTGGATTTTCTCGGGATTTGGGAAGTTCGATCGATCGAACTTGTGGTGAGATCGATCGAATATGGCTGAGATCTATCGAATTGAAGCTGGATCGATCCTCAATGGCAGCGCCTTTTTGGATAAAAACAAATCTGAGATATTTTGAAGATATTTTGGGAAAAGGACAAAAGCGGTTGGTAGGGTGGTATAGCTGGATAAGATCTGACATATGGATAAGGATAAGAAAGTTCAATCGATTAAAGAATGAAGTTAGATCGATCGAACTTTTGGGATCTTTGAATAGGGACAAACATGGCTCAGATCCATCTTGAAGTGCTGAGATCGATGAAAGTTGGATCGATCGAACTTTTCTTAAGATTGATCGAATTTGCTGAAATTCCACCATTTGCTTCTTTTTGCTCTACTTTGCTCCTTTCTTTGATTCATCCCAGAATTGCTTCACTTATACTCTTATGTGGCTGAGTTAGCTTATTTTAGGGATAAGTACCTGAAAATGGAAATAACACGAAATCAATCTAAAGCGGGAAAATAAGATAGATAAAGGTCCTAGAACACCTAAGCTTAAGTGGTTTAAATACGCACTTTTCAGTGCTCATCAAACCTTACATTCTAGTAGAAAGTTGGCTATGGCCTAGCCCTTTATAGCCGTTCAAGGCTCATAAGTGATATCAAATTAACCCAACTCAATCACCCATTTGGTGATTCTGCCAAACAAGTCAGTTTTGTAGAGAATGACTCTTATAGGATATGTGGTGAGGATGGTGATCGAATGAGACTCAAAATACTGTCGAAACTTCCTTTTGGCATGCACTAGTGCAAGTATGACTCTTTCTGCCTTTGTGTATCTCTTCTCAGGGTCGGTCATTGTCTTACTCACATAAAATACGGGGTACTGTTTCCCTCCTTCTTCTCTAACCAAGGCGGCACTTGTCACAGACTTTGATACCACAAGGTAAAGATACAATCGTTCATTCTACCTTGGTCCGAAGAGGATTCGTGGATTCCGTATATACTCTTTCAGCTCGAACATGGCTTGTTGTTGTTTGTTCCCCCATGTCTGCCTTTCACTACTTTTAATCGAATTAAAGAATGGTCTACACTGACCTGACAGCCTCAAGATGAATCTACTGAATGCGGCTATTCTTCCTGTGAAGGTCTAAACTTCCTTAAAGGTTCTCGGTTCCTCGCACTGCACTAGTGCCTCTTCTTGGGTGGGACTCACCTTAATCCCCTAGCTATTGACAATATGCCCTAAGAACTGTCCGTAACTAACTTCGAAATAACATTTGGAGGGGTTTAATCTCATTCCATGATTAAACAATGTGTCGAACACTTCTTATAAATGTAAGAGGTGATCTTTCTTTCTCTTATTATTTACCACCATATCATTAATGTATGCCTTCACGGTTTTGCCCATCTGGGCCTTGAAAACTTTGTTGACCAACCTCTGATATGTAGCTCCTACATTCTTTAGGCCGAATGACATTACCCTATAGCAATAAGTCCCTCATTCTGTCACGAAAGATGTCTTATCTTCATTATCCGGGTGTATGAGTATTTGATTATAGCCCGAATATGCATCTAGGAAAGTTAAACGTTCTCACCCAGTGGTTGCATCTACCATTTGGTCGATTTTAATTTGGTAAGAAAAAGCTATCTTTGGGATAAGCCTTGTTTAAGTTTATGAAATTAATGCAGACTCTCCATTTTTCATTCTTTTTTTTTAACGATAACCACATTGGATAACCAGGAATGGTATTGAACTTCTCTAATGAAACCTGCCTCTAACAGTTTACCTATCTCATCCGCTATGATCTGATTTCGCTCTGGCATAAACCTTATTTGTTTCTCCCTAACGAGTTTGAAACTTGAATCCACGTTAAGGCAATGATATGACAGAAATGGATTAACTCCTGGCATATCTAAGTGGCTCCAGGTGAATATGTCTGTGTTTCTAGTTAGGATGTCAATTAGCAATTACTTTTCCTCTGCAGCTTGCATCGATCCTATCTTCGTCATTCTTGCAGGTATCAGGGGGTCGATCTGCACTTCTTCCGATGGCTCCATTATGAGGACCGGCTCCTCCGCCCCTATTTCTTCGGTTCGGGATAAAGGGATCTGTAATTGCTATTTTGGGTTTACAAATAGGGCGATTATCATACCCTTCCCACTAGCCTTAAGTATTACCACATACCACTCATTCACTGCTACTTGGTCTCCGTGAATATCAATCACCTCTTTGCCGTATAGGCTTAAACATCTCATAACCTGGTGCAGGGTGCACGGAATGCCTTGTACTCGGTAGATCCACCCTCTTCCCATCAAGAAGGATACACATCCATTATGACAAAGTTCTCCTTCAAATTTCGTCATGCAGCATATACAAGCAACTCAATAACTCCAATAGGTTCCACTCGCTTCCTGTCAAAACTCACCAAGGGGTTCCCTATGGGTCTAACCTATTTCGAGTCTACCATCAATTGTTCGAACACCACATTTGTTATGATGTTGGCATTGCTGCCCTGATCCACCAAAATACTCTTGATCAAGCAGTTCAACACCATTAGGCTGATCACCAATAGGCCCTCGTATGGGGTTTGTACCCTTCGAAGATCAGTTTTATCAAATCTGATCAGGGCTACGTCACCCTCTTGGCGGATCATGTTCACGCTCCCTGCCGTTCTCATCTTGTAAGCCTGCCGGAGTCGCGTTTGTCTTAGTTCCTCTGACTCATCCTCGGCTTTAGGTCGCCCGTGAATTACATTAATTACTCAAACTGGTTTCCCCTCGTGAGGGTTTGCCTTTGAATTTAGCCTTGAATGATCATCTGGGTAATTCTGCTCCTTATCCTGGACATAGTTGGCCAGGTCTCCTTTTGCAATCAACATCTCAATCTGCTTCCTCAGGTTCCTACACTCATTTGTTTGGTGTCTGAAATCGCTATGGAACGCGTAGTGTTTTGATTAGTCTCTTTGCTCGATTGGCTGTCTGATTGGTTGAGGCGATTGGAACATCCCTTTATTCTTTTGATATAGCTGTGCCAGAGTGACCTTAAGGGGGGTGATTATCTCATCCTCTTGTTGCCTCTTTTCGGACTTCCAAGGTGTCACTCAAGACTATGATATTGGGGTCTCTAGGTGGTCATCTTTACTCTCGGCTTGTTCTCCACCGTGACCATTGTTGTCTTCCTTGTATTATTGTTGCTAGTGGTGGTATGCAGTTTGCCTTGTTCACAGATACCAATCTCATTACCTTTGAGGAAGCATCCAAGGATGAAAAGTGGATCAATGAGATGGATCAAGAAATTGAATCCATGGAGAAAAATAACATTGGGAGCTTGTTGAACTTCCGAAAGGAAAGAAATCCATTGGAGTAAAATGGGTGTATAATACCAAGTTAAATGTGCAAGGCGAAATTGAGAAGTACAAAGCTCGACTAGTTGCCAAAGGCTACAAACAAAAATATGGAATTTACTATAGTAAAGTTTGTGCTTCTGTTGCTTGCTTTGACACCATCCGTATGATGTTAGCACTTGCAGCTCAAAATCATTGGAATGTTTTTCAAATGGATGTGAAACCAGTATATTTTAATGGAATTTTACAAGAAAAGGTTTATGTTGACCAACCTTCTAGGTTGAATGCTGTTATTGCTAGGGTTTTGTATTACCCCTCACCGGACACGAAAATTCGCAACGAGAAATTTTTTTGGCCTGCATCAGCTCAGAGTTCAGGAAATTGTGGTTCTGCTGTTATGGATGCTCAGAACGACCCGTGGCCTAACTTAGGTAACTTTGCTCAATCTCTACCTTCTTCTCCGAAATTATGACTCGATGATGGTTGTAGTGGTGATAATAAATGGTGGTGACGATGGTGGAGGTTGTGGTGTCTAGTGGAGAGAGATAGAGAAATGAGGGGGGGCATTGGTGGAGGTGGTAACGGTGGGTGGAGGTTGTCGGTGATATTGGGGAAGACAAATAAGGTGAAATAAATAAATAAATAAAAATAAAAATAGAGAACGAAAATATGTGGTTAGATATTTTAATATTGCTGATTTGGTCTTGATACATGTGTATATGTGTGTGTTTGTGTATAAGTGTACATCTATTTGTACATATATCAGAGGGAGAGAATGAAAAGGAGAATGAAAAGGAGATGCTTGAGATGAAGTGGGTATTTTGGATATTCAAAATTAGTTAGAATGGGTAAATTAGTAATTACAACTCAAATGACAATAAATTCAATTTACCTTGTGTCAGAGGTGTATTTGTTTTCTTTATTAAACCTCATGTCATCTTTTAGAAAAAACCTAACTTGTATATGGTTGTTATTATGACAAACTCAAGAGGTGTCGTTCTAAATTACCTGAAAAAATATCATTGATTACGGGCCTTGGTTCATGCAATGTGCATGACATTTTATTGTGCCCAGTTGTAATTTGGGCCCAAAAAGAGGCATGAGGAAACAGGCCTATGATGCATGACAAAGATATATACGCCAATTACAAAGGCAAGCCCAAACCCATTGGAGGCCAAGCCCCCTAACTGTTAGTATTCAAAAATTCTGACCGTTAAAGTAACCGTAATTCAATTCCGGTGCTGAAAAGAGGTGAGACTAGAGACTTGGCCAATCAACTCAATAGACTTTGCATATTGTCATGAAAATTAATAAAGGTTAATGGTGTCTTTTTAGCACCTACTGTGTAATAATGACCTTATAAATTCTAATACCTTAAAGCAACAGAAACAGCAATTAAAAACAATCCTCAAATATTACTCAACTCAATTTTTTCACCAAAACCATTACTAATTATAACTGCAACAATAATACATGTAATAGTGAGAACATCATGGCTAGTTTTGATCATAAAACTAGCCTATATAGCTGACCTTAAAAATCATCATAAAAACTAATAAATGTCTTGATTAAGAATTGGTAACCAACATCATGCTCTTGAACTCTTCAAAATCGAGTAACCCGTCGGAATTCGTATCGTAGACATTGATCATAGTCCTACAATCATGTCCACTGTGCTCGTCCCACAACCCTAATCTTGACAGCACATTCTGGAGCTCGTCGCATGAAATGAAGCCGTCGCCATTCAAATCAAACACCCCAAAAGCCTTAGCAAGATCACCCTCCACACTATCATCCTTCTTTTCCGACGTGCTTTCGCCAATGTTTTCCTTAATTATGGTTTCGTAGAAGACCATGAAGTCAGTGATGTCCAGGCTCGTTTTACCCACTAGAGCCTGGAGCTCGTCCAGGCTCGTGTGGACATGGATCCCGATCCTCTCCAGTAACCAGTTGAGCTCTTCCAGGCTCACCAGGCCGTCGCCATTCCGGTCAAGCTTCTTGAAAATCCGGTGCAGGTCGTCGGAGTTGAGAGGAGACATGTTGCACACAGAGTTCACTGATCAAAGAAGCCTACTTGTATTAGTGACTCGGAAAATGTTTTTGATTGGCGTGACTAACCTTAAACATTGGAAGGGATATATATAGAGGTGGAAAGTTATATGTAGAAGAGTGTAGAATGTTCTCAAAACTTGTACGTACCGTTCAAGTACGATGATGACAAGTTAATGGCGTGTACAATTATGGTTGGAACATATAATGAATAAGTCCCCACAGGGAGCTTCATGGAAGAAGGGCTTGAAAAGACCATAGATATTCTCTGCCTTGTGTTTGAAAGGAACATATATTTGTATGTATCTATAGATATTCTCTGCCTTATTTTACACCAGAATTTTTTTTTATACCAGAATTTTTTTTTTTTTTTTTTTTTTTTTTTTTTTTTTTTTTTTTTTTACCATGTAACATGCGGCTCCGTTTGTAGGTTTTGAGGTAAAATATTTCTGTTTTTTTAGGTAAAATATTTTTTTTTATTTTATTATTTTGGTGTTTAGTAAAGGTTTACCTTGAGATTAAGGACGTATCCAACGAGCAGAGCGTGTAAAATAATTTGTCTGATACGTAAATTATTTTTATTAAATTTTAATATTTTTTTCTTCGCAAATATTTTACGAAAACTAAATATCAAAAAATAAAAAAATATTTTACATTCAAATAAACGCAGCAGAAATACATTCTGTTTCTTACTTCCCAGTGTTTTGTCTGCAGATCTAAAATTAAGTTAGCAATTCTTAGAAAACTAATAACAAACAGTTTAGATGCAAATACAAATATGAAAAATTGTAATAAACACTTATATATTTGAGTGTGTACAAAATACATACACATACACTTATATAAAATTCAACTGTTCAGCAAAAAGCCCATGACCTAATAGTGTCAAATTCTTACTTTTTAAATGAAAGTTAGAGGTTGGATTTGTATACATTTTTTTTACACATCAGAAAATTAACAAGTAAACATTTATGTACACTACATATAAATATGTCTTGAATGAACTTAAATGATAGCTCGATATATAATTTACTTATCCAATGTTCATTTGTTGTATTGAATTGCTACGGAATTACCTAAACAAGACTTGAACATTTTTTAGGCTTTGCACAATAATATTAAATGCCGATGGCGAAAAGTTAGTTAACGTTTGGATGATAACATGTGGCTATAATCAACCGTTCGAAGATATTATCATAATATGTAAAATCTCAACCATAGAATTCGATTATTGATAACTAGTGTATAATTTGGGTAGGTATATATATATATATATATATATATATATATATATATATATATATATATATATAATTTGGGTATAAAAATATATATAGTATTTGCATGATTGATCTCTGAAACGATCTCGCACAATGACAAACACCGCCCAAGAAACCACATCCACCCAAAAAAACAACAAAAGAGACGTTGCTATTAAAGTTGCACGCCAACCCGTGTGCGGGGGTGAGATTGACATGACAACACAATAATTTACTTACGTGAATATTGTAAACCATGTGAATCACAAAAATACCAACCACTACACCAAGTCCTCCTCATTTTCGTTTTCGCAACAAACATTTTGCATTTCATCGTTTTCGTTTTCTGTTTTTTGTTTTTCTTTTTTTTTTTCATTGTACTGGATCATGCGATTCCATCACAGTGCGAATGGAGCTATCCGGACGGAGTGAGAATATAACACTCCTAGTGTTATGTTTGGTGTGCATGAACAAGGAAATATAAGTGAGAATAAAATAAAATGATTATTTTCATTTGTTGTTTGGTTATAAATTTAAAACGTATAGAAATAAAATGAAAATAAAAATTTTAGTGTTTGGTTGGATCAATTTAAGATCTAGAATAAAATAAATTTAAATTCAATTTTTCAAAATACCCCTCTTAGTAACAAATAGATTAAATTATCAAAGTAGCATTCTTCATATCATTTTTTAAAAGCAAATGGTGGTGGTGGTGTTACTGGATGGTGGTAGAGTTGGAAAGTGGTAGTGGTGTAGCTGGTGGTGTTGGAAGGCAACGATGGTGTAGTGGTGATAGTGTAAGGTGACAGTAGTGTAAGTCGTGGTGGTGAAAAGTGGCGGTGGTAAGTGACGGTAACAGTGACAGTGGTGGCAATGATAGTGGTGGAAGACAATGGAGGTTGCGGTGGTGGAAGAGGTCAAAGTTGGAGATGGTGGTGATGAAAAGCGATGATAGTTGTGGTGGAAGACAGTGGCGACAGCGACGGTGGTGGTGGGTTTTAAAACATAAAGAGGGTTTTGAGAACTTAATTTTTTAAAAAAATTTGTTTGAAAATGGAATGATCATTCTATAGGTTTAATTGTATTATAAATTTCTATTTTCAGGAATGAACTTTCATTCTAATGGAATGGTATTCTCACTTTAAATTATATAACAAACAAAGAAATAGTTCGAATAGGCATTTCATTTTAGCACACCAAACGCATGTACCCATATTGAATACGTGTCACTCCACTCGTATACTCGCAGATACGTGATTAATATTTTTTAAATGTATCTATAATTTTAAAATATATTTTTAAATTTTTAATATGTAGCCGATATTTTTCAGATACTTCAATTGCGTATTAAATACTTCTCATATTTAACAAAGTTTTAAATATTAAAATGTGACTTTTCCAACAATAATAACATAATATAATTGTTAAAATTAAAAAGTTTAAATTTTATTATGTGATGAGTAATAATGCTTGTTTTACGCGTTTTTTATATTAAAAAAAATATATTTTTGCTACCATATCCCGCTTTACCCGTACCTTTGAGTATATCTACACCCTGTATACGTGCTTCCTAGTTCTCCACCAGTTTTTTAGTTTCATAATCTACTAAATTGAAAGACACTATTGTGATTTTAATAATTTGTAAAATCACTAAAAGATAAATTTATTAATATTAACAAAATCCTTGATTCTTTTAGTTTGTAACCTAAAATGAAATTTTTTATTTTTAATAATTTGTAAAATCACTAAAAGATAAATTTATTAATGTTAACAAGATCCTTAATTCTTTTAGTTTGTAACCTAAAATGAAATTTTTATTATTTTTTAAAAAAACATATGACAAATTTGGATTCACAAACAGTGAGTTTGGGGGTTAAAAAAAAAAAAAGAAAAAAAGAAAAGAAAAGAAAAAGAGTATTAAAATTTTTTTTCTAAAAGGATTAGGGCAAGGAAAGAGAGATTGAGTTGTAACCTGTAAGAAAGTAAATGCGTAAAGTGAAAAAGAATCGAATTTGCAAAAAAGCAACAGGAATTTTTTGCACTTTATCCAAATTAATATACAAATATAGTTTATGAGAGATAGATACCAAATTATTCTTTGAGTAGGGGACATCTATAATTTTAAAAATTTATGTGAAAAAAAATAAAATATAACAAAGACGACAATGCAATAAATTTCAAAAGAAAAATAAAACACAAACATGACAAGAATACGTTAATAAATTAATATAATATATTATTATCTATATACAAAAATTAATTTATACTCATTTTATCCATAAATCATGATAATCACTAATTAGAAAAGGCATTTGAAACCAAGGGTTGGCACCAGCCTCCCCACACTGAATAGTAATTGGCCGATGTCTTCAACATTGGGATTAGCTAAGTAAATCCTGTTCGAAAGGGATAATAAAACGGAAAAAAAAAAAAAAATACTAATCCTTGCTGACAATATCCTTTAACATCTCCAAAAATTAGTGTGCGCTAATTTAACATGGCCTATTTCACATTAGTTCTAAAAAGAGAAAAATAATACTACTATTTCGCGCTGCTAGGAGAGTAAAAGGACAAAATGAGACTGCTATGACAGAAGATCAAATTATTAGCATTAAATAATTCAGGAAAAAAAAATAAAAATATGTGCCATCTCTTCAATAAGTTCACCTTCAAGGCTTCAAGCAGAACTTTCCAGACTCATTGAAACTTTTTTCCAACTGCTCTATTTTGTTTATTCTGAAACCTCTTATCCTCACTTCCTCAGGCACTGAAGCATCCTTGTAATCGACGCTTTCGAGGATCCAGCCCTTGTTTTGAACTGAATCTCCCACGATTACCTGTTAACAGGTGACATTTTCTTCTTACCATCCATTGTGTTTTCTACATCTACATTAAAAGGTTGTTTTACATGTGTAAACAAACATGCTACATACCTCTGCATCGTCAACAGAGTCAATGACGAGAGCTCCATCCAATGAGAGGTCCTCGAGAAAGATGTTACGGCCCTTAATGACCATGGTAGATTTCTGTGAAATGCAGCAACTTCCCTTCACTTTGCTTCTAACCTCTGAAAATGTAAGGGCCCATTTTGGCTTCCATACGATACGGGACCACACTTCCACCTCTTGTCCATTGAACACCTGATTTACTGGATCATCTACCTTAACTCCAGCCTAGTGACAAACAAGAAGGATTAGAACAGTCATACATTTAGTTTCTAAATACCAAATACTAATTCACTGGCAGTCAAACGTGTGTACACTATACACAGAGACTTGAAGTCCCCAGAAAAATAGGTTTTATGGGGAATATAAACTAACTACAAGTTCCGCATTTTATAATAAGAACATAAAGCAATGATAAACCAAAAATTACATGGGCAATTCAATTTAGAATGGTGCAAAGAAGTGAAGGGGCCAAACTTTATTCCAGGGTGACGGGGATCACAGATGCAAATAGTCCCTACTACTTCACCAACTTATATGATGAGGGGCCCTAATTAACATTATATAGGGGTTAATATCAGATTTGCCTCATGGATTTGAGTTCTAAATGATTGTAAACTGGAATGGGATTGGGATTTTTAGAATATGTCGGTCCAAAAGCAATAATCATAACCAAAGAGGTTTTAAGAATTTTCAGGGGCAGTTATGAAATTATTGAAAATTTTATTTACAAAATTTAAAATAAAAAGAGATTGAATGTGGGGCAGCTGCCCCACTTAGCTGCAACATTGGTGCCAAAATTTTAGTTTGCTACGTTCTCATCAAGGCACAATAGCCAACTGCCGCGCGCGCGCACAAAAATATATAGAAGAAGGCATATATTCATAAATTTATTTGTTTTAATAAATAATAAGTTTAATGTGTATGTTAAGTAAATTGCATGTACATACCGGTCGCGTCCGGAACATCTGATAAATATAAAATGGCAGAGAGAGTATATACCAATATATTATTGGATAAATGGAATCTCCATGTTCTCTCTCCGTATAGGATGTCATCAAGTTTGGGGGTGCGTTCCTGGTTTCTCAAAATGCTAAATTATTAGGAATAAACTTAGAGAAACTATTCCATGTGACCATGACAAAGTATAGCAGCAACCGTGATTTATACATTTGCCATTGATACCATGTAGGGATATGAATTCTAAAATCACAGGGGCTGTCATATGGATGTGACAGACACAAAGGATGATTTCACATAAACACAAGTTCAGGGGAGACAACTATAGATGGAATTAGACATTGGGCATCTGCAAATAAGAATCTTCTTGTAGAAAAATCGAGAATTGAAGGAAAATCTTCCAATGATAATGAATAAGTAAATGTTTAGTTACCTAATTAGGCATTTTCAGATAGTTTCGAGTACTTAAAATCCTATATTATGCACCAAATTTACATCAAGTATGTGCAAAGTTGCTACTCTTAAATTATTTAAAATCACACTTTCTGGGGCCAAGTTAATTACATGTCCATTATCAACCAAGTCATGTCATTAACGACGACACCATACCTAATTTGATCCAGTGTATCTATTGAATTGAGATATATTCCCAACACAGACTTGTGTCAACACCTGTCAAATACCGGGACCAAGTAATTTTCAAGGCAATGCCTTCTAGAGCAATAGATTTTTTTTTTTTTTCATCCTAATAACCAAAGAGGATGAATCAAGCAGGAAGGGTGTTAGAAGGTAAGTATCTATACTTGTCTAATGTTTTGAATGAACTGTAATGTGGATTCTATCCTCTATTTCAACCTTTCACTGCCCTTTCTTTCGTGTGTTAATATTTCACAAAAATTTCCAGGCCTAACAAAATTAAGTACATGTATGATTCCTGCAACTGAATGTTCAAAATTCTATTAACTAGATGGTGATTTTAATATCACACACAGTAACAATGGGTAAAAGTTTCTCATTGGGCTGGGCTAACTTAACACCAGCCCATTCTGCCAGCAACTTACTGATGTCAAGCTTTATTTGATTTTGGTCTTTGCTAAACTTGATCAGTACTTTGACTAACCTAACTTGAATCTGAGCCGAACTTGGACTATGATTACTCAGCCAAGTCCAGTTCAATCCGAAGTACCTTATTTTTTTTCGGAAATTATCCGAAGTATAATATTACTAGCACATTTTTGGTGGATATGTTATATATTTATTGCAAGTAAGATTCACAAGTCGCTAGATTAGCACTGGATTGATAAAAACAGTTCAATCTGGTGCTATCGAAAATCTTTGATGCTAAAGGTGGCTAGAACCCTTCTCCAAATTAATGTAAACAAGACCAAATTGTAATGCTGAAAATTTTTAACTAGTAAAAGATGACATGTAATAATGTTAGTAAAAACAGATTGGCAGTAAACCAAATCCAGAATGGATGACAAGTTCATGGTAGTGGGAGATCACAGCTTTGCTTTTAGGACCAGCTTGACATACAAATCTCCCTTCAACCGTTAGAGCAAGATGTGGCAGAACAATAAGGAAACTACATTAAGCATTATCATGTTTCATATTTTGCTTAATTTATAACATAAAATTAAACAAATACCTTTCTAAGAATGAGGCTGTTTGCCCTATAGATGGCCATCTCTCCAGAAGTGGCACTGTGATATGGATTCCCCTTTGGTACCTTCAGTTGAATTCAAATAAATTAGATATATATTACTTATCAAAAATAAATAAATTAGATTTATAACACAATTTGCTTAGTTCAAGAACATCAGACCTCATTACTATTTCAGGGCTAAAATAAAGAGAAGAAATGCCAACAAACATAAATCAGCTAAAAAGCAACACAGCTAGCACAAATAATAGGATATAAAGTAACAAACAAATAGTGAAAAGTGGTAAGTTAAAGATGAATTTGACCTTAATATTCACTGATTTTAGAGTTTAACCAAAGATGAACCTCCTCTGATAACCAGTCAATTTATATTACATAAAAGGGTACCACAAGTACTTAATTAAAAAATTAATTAACTTTTTTTTAATTATAATTCACAAAACTTAGTAGCTGCAAGCATGTGACTAACCCTCCTTGCTAATTCAAAGAACTTTCTATGGCAGTTAGCATCAACATCAGCCAGAGGTCTTATCTTTTTCTTTTCAAGTATATCTTGTTTCACCCTTGCAAATTCTCTCCAGTGGACATGATCCAATGGGGATCAACAATGATAATTCTTTTTGTTCCCTAAATGTGAAAACAGATCAAAACCATCTCTCTTGCAAAGAATCAGCGCCAAACAGCCTCTAGAATGAAATAAATAGTAATAAAAAAAATCTCATTGCCAAACTATCGTGTGTAGGTTCAAATATCCTAACAGCGGTAAGGTTATTTTTTACAACAGCTAGAGCTAACAAAAAGACATTCCTGTGGATTTGTAGTGCAGATCATATGCTTCACTCCTGAAAATTAAATTTCAAGAATTATTAAACCACAGGGTGATAATAATACACCTAGGGGGTCCCAGTTGAAACAACCTACCAGTTTCACGCCTTCTTTAAATTAATGTGACAGCTAGCAAGTGCAAACATAGTAGTGAGTGCAAATTTGACTATTTTGTCATTCGTATTTAAGCCAAGGATTTGGATATCGAATATTTAAAATGGATTGGAATCATTACCCTCTTATTTCTTGATAATGTAATATCATAACAACAACAGAATTGCACTACTATTGGCATCCATACTAGCACAAGGTAACAAGAACCAGAGCCAGTGACATCCAGCCTCACAAGAGGCCTACTATTATTCATTGAGTGGTACAGGACCCACCACAAGATAAATTCCTGTTAAGAGATTTCTGCAAAAAAATCATCACAATCGAAATACCAATCTATTAAAAAAGTCAGCCATTTTATATTCTTTTTCCAAAAAGTACTTTTCTCAAAAGTAAATTTGAAAAGAATTCAACCTAATCATCCTAATATTCATCTTATCAATATCTAGGGTAAGAAATATAGCTCCTGTGGATGTTCAAGTACGCATATCCCTGAATTTCCAGAGACCTTGTTATAGCACATTAAAAGGACTCCAAGAAGGAAATTATTGCTAAAATTACTGAACAAATATATACCTTGGCAGCATCCTCGGGGTTGTTCTTTACAGGTGCATAAGCAAGCCATGTATCCATCACCTAATCAGTCAGAAAGTAATTATAATTCACCTAATCAGTCACAAAGTAATTATAATTCATAGTAAATTATAATTTGTTAAAAACAAATATATAACATATAACAACAGATAACTAAGAGTTAAAATGGAAATACTTGTAACAGACATTATCCAACAGACAACCTTACTTGAACATGACATTATCCAACAGAAGATATAGTTTTACTTACAGTAAACCCAACTCTTGCTGATGAAGGCAATGTTTTAGGATAATCTTGCATCATACACTCTAGTCTAGTAGAGGACTTAAATGCAGTTTTGGTAGAATCTTTGTACCTGTGGTAGGGGGGGATCATACAGATGAGTTAGTGAGAAGTAAAAAAAAAAATACTTAAAATAAAAACACTTCCAAGACAGTTTTGCCCACTTGAGGTTACAAGCGAATAATAGACTTGGACCAAGTAACAAGTCACTTTGTCATGCTGGTGTCATAGAAAACAGTAGAACCATAAAAACAAAACAAAAACTGACACACTTTTTATAATTGACAAGCAAAATCTGTTGAGTACACATAAAATGGTCAATTAACGGAAAGGAGCAAAATTTGTTGAGTACACATAAGGATTGACAATGCAAATTCTCAAAATAATTAACGCCAAACAGTTTGAACTCCCAAAAGTTTACAGTTCTTGAGATTTGAAAATTTTTAGCACACCAACAGACACTGCGTGAATTATAAAATATATGTGATCAAATTATTTAACTATGTGCTGGAACATTTAAGTCACTATTTTAGATATCCAGCAGTGGCAGTACTGCCATTGTCTTTGAACTATACAGTATCATCATTTGGAGAAAGAATTTCTGTACACCGTAACCAAAATGTTGTTGACTGTGAAGGAATCCAACTATTTTGAGGATGTAAATAAGTGCAAGCAACTAAACACTGCAAAATATCATCGCAACTGAATGCTGGAATAGGTTTAATCAAGTGTAGCAAGAAAATAGGAAGAGAAATTACTTAGGGTTAACGAACTCCTTTATAGCACCTCCAGTTTTAGTAAGCTCCTCAATGTAGTGGCCAAGTTCAATAATCAACTGCACAGGCAATATACAAGTCAACCCTAAGCAAGAAATTACTTTACTGCCAAAAAAAAAAACAAAATTTATCCACAAAAATGGACAAAACTGATTTCATAAATTTATGGATAAAGTCAGTTAACCCCCTGAACTATCAATTTTTTTGCAAAAATTACCCACCGGTAGCCTTCCGGCCATTTCTTACCATTAAATAGGCCTGTGTTGATCACGTGCCATTGCAAAAAATTAAAAATGACGAAATTGCCCTTATGACCGTTATAATATATTATGCTATAAAACAGAAATCCCCAATTAAAGATTTGCTTCTACGAACCCTAACCCTTTCTATTGCAAATCGCCATCTCTCGCTCAATAGCCTCTATATATGGACCGGTCTGGTTCTCCGCAAGGCACTGAAGATTCACAAACCGAAGAAGTGTAAGTGATCCACAAACCCTAATTTTCGTTCTATAGGTGAAATTTATTTGATTTACAGTGATAGAAATCACTATGGTGTTGAGCATTGTTCAAGCTTTATTGATCTCTCCTCCTCTGTGTAATTTCCGTTGCTTAAATTTCTTCAATTCATCTCCCATAAAGAAACAGTAAAATTTAGCCAAAAAAAAACACTGAATCAATCTACTAGAATTGGAACAATTGAATGTGGAGAAGAGTCAAATGGTTGCGGAAGGAGAAGAATTTTCGCTTCTGGCATGAGCTAGCAACAAATCACAGTTGAAGATCAGAAAAATAGGTTCGGATCTGACTGGAGTTGGATGCGGATCAGGAAGAGAAAAAAAAGAGAGAGGGAGGTGGATCAGAAGGGGGATGGCGGCCGTAAACGGTGGAGATGGTTGGGGGAAGAAGAATCTTTGTGGGAGAGAGAGGGTTGGGGGCGGCCATGGACGAACAGTGAAGAAGCTATCGAGGAAGATGAATTGGAGTTGTTGAGGTTGTCATTGACAGTGCGGTGAGAGATGGTGTTGAGGAGGAGGTGTTGTCATCCTCATTGCCGCTTTGCCGCTGGTGCTATGTGACAATTCTAGGTCGCGTTGCAGAGGTCGTGTTTGGTGTCATCGTCCTCATCACTGCTTCGCCGCTGGTGCTATGTGACCGTTCCAGGTCGCATTGCAGAGGTGGTGTTTGGTGGTACTAGAATGAGGTGGGATTGTGGGAATGAGCGTTTCATGCTAAAATGAGGTGGGGTAGGTGGTGTGTTGTCCAATTTTTATTGGTTATTGAAATTTTATATGACACATCAGCAACACAAGTTTAAGGAAAATGATTCTTGCACCGAATAGTTGCAATGAATTGTTAGACCTACTCTTTTAATTGGTCAATTATGCAACAAATAAGAAAGTGAAGCCCTCCACTTAGTTGTATTTGGTATAAATAACCAATTAAAAATTATTCAGTTAGGCAATTCACTGCAAGTGTTCAATGTGAGTATCATTACTCATTTATAAAGCATCAAAACGGTGCAGTTTCATTAAGGGTAATTTCATAATCTTCTTTTTCTGGTACCGGGGACCTCACCTGTTGTCCTCAAATGCAACTTTCTAATAGTTTAGGGGAATTCTTTTTTAATTCGGGGGGGTTTTGCGCAAATGCCTTATAGTTTAGGGGGGGTTTATTACACTTTACCCTAAATTTATTTTAGGTGACCAAGGTACAAAAGTCATTTAGAAAACTTCTTGATTACTCATTATATTATATGCACCTCACTCTATAAAAACAATGTTTGCAAATATATGGCAAATTCATAAATTAGGACCCAAAATAAAGGTCAAAAGCGCTTGACCCTTCCATATATCAAAAATATCTTGAGTGCAGCCTAGGAGCTCCCTTGATTTCCAATGAAACTCAAATGCAAAACTCTGTTTGCACATGTTCATGCACGTGTGGTCAGTCGGTCATGCATGTGAAGAAAAGAATTGGTGATAAAGAAATATGACAAACAGGGCATCACACAGGGAGATATTCCACTTCAACACTTTGACATAAATTATTCAGAATTCATAGTTCCCTTAATTAACTTAATTAAGAGGACAACACAGTATAAAATTGTAATATGAAGAATCGCAGAAAGGCCTTCCTTAAAACTGTTAGCCAAACTTTGAGAGAATTAAAACTACAAGTCAACCTGACAAATATCCCAAAGAAATGGGGTCAAATACACATATATCAAGAACAAAAACTTTCATGATCCTAGTTCTTTGGGTTTCAACCAAGGGTATTCTGCTGCTTGTTAACCTTGTACGACTGCCTTCTCCTTCTCTAGGATAAGGTCCATCTGTGTTAATATATAAAGGCCTACACATTATAGTGGCTTATTCTCAACCTAACCAAGGATGACCACAGCAGTTAGTATATAGGTTTTGAAGTTGAAGACATTCCAAATAAAGAACAGCCATATATAGAGAAAGAGCTCAAATAAATAAGGACCTAAACATTAAGAGTGGCTCATTCTCAACCTAACGAAGGTTGACAGAAGCACTTAGTCTAAGTCCTTTGAAATTGAAGACATACCAAAATTTATGAACATGTTGAAATACTAACCACCCCTAAGATAAGAGCCTGTGTAATGAGAAGAACATGAGAACAAAAAGCACATGCTTTCAGAATGTATGCAGTTATCAGGAAAGGAAAGCAGAAATGTACTTGGTTTATATTTCCAGGAAAATGAGAAAAGCCTGTTTCAGAATTGACGTCACCGTCAGCATATCCAGTAGCCCTAAGCAAAGGATCGAGCTGATTGTATTCCACATTAATCACCATTGTCCTACCTGAAGACAATTTGTAATTCTAATGAGAGAATGGAATATTGAAATATAAACTCTAGTGAACATATGAAACAACACAGTCTGATATTACTCTTACATGCTTGCTTGTGGATCATATTTTAGGAGCAATAGATTGAAAAAAATAAATAAATAAATAAAAGATAACTAAATTAGAAAGGCATAATTGTTGCATACAGAATATAGTAAGATATTGGGAGGGGAAAAAAAAATTGAAGTCATACTAATATATCTCCACACTCCACAGGCTATACACATGCTTGTTAAGTATATCCAACATTACTCAAGCTCTAGATAATATGAGTTGCAGAAGGAAGAAGTAGATGTCCCACAAAACCTTGCATCTGTATATAACCATATGTTGTACAAGAAAAGAGGAACAGAACATTTAAAACCCAAGAAAAGAGGAACAGAACATTTAAAACCCAAATATCAAGGGCTGAACAATCTCCCTGCTTCAATCAAACGACAGGTCAAGTCTTCTCTTTTTCCATTTAAGGAATATAAGTACATTGCAAGAAAGGGCAGTATCGTGACTTCCCATTAGGCACAACTTTTTGTTTCCTTCCGATACACCATGTTGGTGTATGTTGACTAATTGAGGAATGTCAAAATTTAAAAATTTTATTGTTGTCCTGCCTACGTAGGGTGCTCAGAGAGGAAGACTAGACACATTATTTTGCAATGACTGGCTGCTCTCAAGACTTGAACTGACGTTTCACGCTTGTCAATCTGAGCTTTTACCATTGCACCATAGTAAAAAAAAAAAAAATCAAAATACAGAAACAACATTCAGAGTTAAGTGACCATAAAACTGCTTGCAATTTAATCCACATTAATGATAATGATAAGTAGAGTTTTGACCACAACATTGTCTAATAAATTAAAGTTGCAACAGATTCCATATGGACACTTGGTTCAGTCTATGCCCATGCTCCTCGTCTTACATTAACCTCCTCCATTTTTTCACTTATTTTCAGTTACCTTTAAAATTAAGATGGAAATGCCAACTAATCTAACAGGAGTGATGGAAGAGTTGGCAAAGTTAACATTTCTACAACTATTGTTCTACTCTTTTCCCTTTTAACTAAGAAAAAGTGGCATGATGATTTTAGTAAGTCATATTGCACATCCATAAGGAGGGTTGGTTTCATAGCATAATATAGAATAGAAAATCAAAATATGAAGCAAAAACTGCCTTGAGGATGATTCTTAAGTAATGACAAAACTCATAGGCCACTGCTACTTAATAATTGTAATCCACAAGCAAAGAGAATATTACAAATAAAAGTACCATCAGAATGAGTAAGTCTAGCGATCCCTCCAATAGGCTCTTTAGCTTTGCGAGGGACAGCAAGAGAATTAACATGATATTGTTTGGTAGCACTGACACCTAATGCTGCTGGAATTGCCTGGAACACAAAAAAGGGTTTGAATGTATTCTTTTAGCTTGACTTATCAAAAAAATATATATATATTCTTTTGGCTTAACAAAGAAGGAAAGGAGATTATTATATCCGCTTTATACCCAGAATAGTTCTTAATAAGAAAAATAGATGAAGCAAGTAAACATAAACTGAAAACCTTGAATAGAAGTCCGTTTGTATCTTGAAAAAACAGAACCCATCTCAAACCAGCATCACGCCTGATAAAACGATGGACATAGTCAAAATTTTGAAATTGTAGATAGCAAAACAGGCAAACTCTAAACCAACAGGCCAGTGGCCTAGCGGTACCAGGCCCCTACTTCCCAAAGGGAGGTCAGGGGTTCAAGCCTCAGTGGAGGCATGTGTGTGTGAGTACCAACTAAGAAAAATAAATAAATAAATAAAAATAAAAATAAAAATAAAAAGAGGCAAACTCTGCCACTTGATAGTATCCACTATCCTTCCTGATTAATTTCCACAGATAAAATTCTGTCTCTGAGCTTTAAAACAGACATGTTGGGCAAATGTGAGAAACATTTAAGTCAACTTTTCCAGATCATTATAATGGAATGTTCACCCCAGTTATGCAATTTTAAATGGGTCACCGGTCATGCCTTTGAGTTTTAACATCAAAACAAAAGTCAGACAAATTTTTAAGGTTTTGTTGTCATGAATCAGGAAACCAAAATCAGCATATAAAGAAGAAGGCAAACCTAGGGAGGGTGAGGGTTCGAGCCCTTTTTGGGGCACTGTGTGGGTGTTTGTTGTTTAGCTAACCAAAAAAAAAACTAGGTAAACTAGAAGGAAAAAAAAAAAATAGAAATAATGTCAAAAATATCTTACCATTTGTTTAGAAGGCCACTAGAATAAAGAAGTGAATGCACATCACCATGGCCATGAGGTTTCGTCTATTACACAGGCCACACGAAAAATCATACAAAAAATTTAACCATCAAAGAGAGTAAAAGAATGCTAGATTCATTAATTTCTTAAGTTATGAGGATATGTAATTACAGAACATCTAAAAGCTACCTGAATTCTGTATTTATTATGCGAGTCCACAGCAAGTCTGGCATCGTTATCATCTAAGCAAGCCACTTTTTCCTGGAATAATAGGTATAGGTAATATAGTCATTAAACAACTATTATGAAGTTCATTAAAATTCTGTATCAATGATCAGTTGCTTACCTGCTTCAGAAGTGTAACTTGTGTAGGTACCATTCCAAAATATGCATTTGATTCTAACAGCTCCATAGTGCGTGCATGTGTGTCATCTGAGGTCATTATAACCAAAGGTATCTGTCTTTTGCATCCTCCTACAAAATAAAAGCAACAGTGTTACCTTAATGCAAAACAGCAAAACAGATTAAAACTATAATCTGGTCTGATAACAATCACACAAGGTACTCCGTATCTACCATATGATTTATACCTAATGTGCTAAACAGATACCATGAAGCTATAGCTTAATTCATAAGCTGAAATGGCTTTCACAAGACTAATAGTCTTATATCATTTACAACTTTAGAAAACTAGAAAAACTAACTTCAGCAGTTAGAAGCTCTCAGCTGGTAGCTGACTGCAGGAAGATAGAGCAGTAGGAAGCTAGAGCAGCTGGCATCAGCACAGCTCGCTACCAGCATGGTAGCAGGAAAGATGGTTCATCCTATCATTTACAACTTTAGAAACTTAGAAAAAATAACTTTACACCTACAACATTAACTCTAGTAAAAAATTAGCCAACACTAACTGAACCTTCAACTTATATAAAACAAACTAATTACTCCAAAAACAATCAAATAAGCAGGAATACTAGACAATTTGGACCAGAAAGAAAAAAGAAACTATTTGCTTATCTCTTAATGAATCAAAGAGGTTTTAAGATCACAAAACCGACAAGCTCTGTATGGCTTGAAGCTTATCTAGTGAGTCGTCTCTGACAACCAACATGATGTCCATAACAAAAAATGCATACACCAAATTACTAGTAGCATGCCAAAACCATTGCCTTTGGCCAAAAGGCCATCACTGAGTCCTGCTCCCACCTTTGCAGGGTGCTGAGAAGGGAAGATAGAGACACTTCTAACCTTTGCCATTATTTTTGTACAAAATTGCTGCTCTATGACTCAAACCTGCATCCCCAGGCTAACAAGCCTAAGCATTTAACATTAAACCATGTAATGATACTCAGCCATTGCCTTTGGTATAAATGGAATTCAAAACTCACACATTATAGCTTGTAGTGGGTTGAAAAAGCCATTAAATACACTGGTAACATATTGATCACAAGATATAAGATCATTACAAGATTTGGATGCTATAAAATGAATAAGGAAGCACATTCTAGTTCTAAATATATGCAAAAGTATGAGATACAATATCCATAGAGAAGCTATTGAGCAAAGAGAATTTTCAGAATCATCTAGCTAAAACGGATGCCTCAATTTTACAAGCCTAATGCTCTGTTCGGTAGGAAAGAAAAAAATTGGATGGAAGGGAAAGAAGAAGGGATGGATGAGACATCCCTAGGGAAGAGATTGTGTATTCCCTTCTTTTTGTTCGGTTGGATGGAAGAGAAGAGAATAATGTCACAATTTATTATGTTCGTTATGAGAGAAGGAAATATAAAGTTTTAAATTGTTTTTACCACTATGTCCAATAATATCTATAATATTGTAATTCATAGAGGATAGTACTGTAATTTAAAACTTGTGCAATTTAGGATAATATTTAATTTAAAACTTCTATAATAGTCCACTTTTCTTCCCCCTCTCGTCTGCCCATTTTTGAACGGATGAAAATTTATAAAGAAGGAAGGATGACACATCCCTTCTAATATCCTTTCTTTCCTTGTATCATATCTACCAAACAAAGGAAGTTTGTTCCTTCCTTCCTATTTTCTTTCCACACCTCTTCCTTCCTTCCTACCGAACAAAGCATAAATAAATATTTAAGGTTCTCTTAGTCTCAATAGATCCATTCCCGAAAGTACTCATGCTTCACGTATGTCCTCATCAAACGAGCTTGAAACATCTAAGCTACATCATGATAGGCTTGACAGCTAAAACTCATTTCATACGAAACATTATCCAAAGTTTCTTGTCTTCTCTATGGAAATTTTTTCTTAAAAGATAAGATTGTTTCAGCGCTTTCTTTTAACCTGAAAAGAAGATCCTGTATCACCGTAATTGGTAGTATCCGAAGCCACTATCAGATTGTTAGCAACAAAAGAAGCCACATGGAAAAATAGTACACCTGAAAAACCAGGTAAAATGACACTTTGCGTTTCAGGGTAGCAGACCAATCATTGTCTTTAGAAGCTACATGGTAACAGACCATGGGTAAAAGCAAACCTTCCGCTAGTCTACAGCTAGCATCTTGTAAGGCTAAAATAGACTCAATGTAAAGTTGTAAGAAACATGTTCCCGTGGTAGACTCTGAGGGAAGAGCCACCTGCAAGAGGTAAGCAAATATGATTAAGAGTGTTATAACTGATTTTAGAAAGTAACCCATCTCTTTTAGTACTACTACATAGATACGATTTTGTTATACCTGGTTTTTCAGGTGTACTTTTTTAAGAAAGTGACCCATCCACAAATTTGTTCTGTCCAAGAACAAAATCCTCACATACCTTAATTCCATTGTATCCAAGACGTTCCCCAAGACCACCTGCTACAAGAACGAATGCAGCATTCCGCCCTTCCCTGACACCAGCCTCCTCAAATTGAACAAAGTTTTCATCACCATAAGTCAGAACTTCCCCTGATGGTACCTGCAAAAAGTTTTGTACACTTCATAAATAACCTGTTATTGATGTGATCTGTCTCACAGACAAAAGGTTCAGTGCATCTTCTCTGGAAGTGGAGTACATGGCACTATGGCCATACTGAAGACATGTGACCTTATGTCAAACAGAAAGATATAGCAAAAAAAGAAGAATAGCAAAAAAGATTATGGTTGTCCCAAGATAGGCAATATTAGGTTTGAAAGATGATGCTGAAAATGAATAGGGTCAGTGCAGTAGGAGACCAAATGTTAAAAAGATAGTGAGAGCTCAAGTCGCTTTCTCGTACTCGTCCTTAACTCAGTAGATGAGGAAATAATTGTGAGAGTGAATTTATCCATTTATAATGCATCTACTGTAACTAGGGCCTGCAAAGCATGCCTTTCCGTAATTATATTGCTTCACTTATATAACTCAACAAGCCTCAATCTCAATAATTTGTGGTCCACTACAAGGGTCTTCTCCAGTCAGTTCTCTGTACTGATGCTTCATTTCTATGATATACAACTTTTGTAATGCACTGACAACTGTAACTGAGTAACAAGATACAACTCAAGTCTGACGTCCAAAACAACTGACTCAGATCAACTGTCAAATTAGTTGTTAGATCAAGCAAATTAGTTTGACCATAAACCTAGTGTGTAATGGTTGTAAGAAACCTAAGGGTTTTCTTTTCCTTTTGAACCAAGCCAGCCTGAATTTTAAATCTGGAAACTTCCTTAAATCCCATAGACAATTCTATAGGGATGTGTCATTGCATTCTCATATTACTAAGTATAGTGTGTCTCCTAAATCAATAGTGTAACAATTTTAACAAATTAAAATTAGAAAATTTGATTACAAATTATAAAAGGAGTAATCGTATTGTTCTGGATTAATCCTCATATTCATAAAGCATCTTTTGAGATTATTTCTGATATTTTTATGCATGGTTTACAACCAGGCAAATTTAGACTCCACAACCCAATGGGTGCTTAGTATGATGCTCAATCAGATCCTGGGTTAACTGATGTGATAGGTGTAAGAGGTATGTATTAATTATACAAAAAAATCCCCAATACACATGCCTAAAGGCTTTAAAACCTCTACAGCGGAATCTCATTCTAGTTGATGGTGTTACAATGACAAGAAGAAAGATGAAAATATTATTTTTGAAAACAATAAGATGGAATGGCAATGATTTATTAGAGATTATAGCCCTAGATACCCCTAAATCAATGATGATTTCAGTTGAATAATGTTCATGAAGGCATTCTCAGGAAATACAAATTGATCTGAGAGGCATATACCATAGAAATGATAACAAGAGAATTAGAATCATCTTCACGTGACGTCAGCAAAGTGAGATCAAACATATCCAACTATTCCACCATTAGAGTTGACTAAGTGGCTCTCATGAAATTTAACTCGCAACTACTGCTGCTGCATTCAACTTATGATCAAGTATGACTGCAAGAGTCACTAGCTAACAAAGTGTTTCATTTTACATACAACTGAAACTGAAAGTTAGCATATGGCATGCCAAATAAAGTACTTTAGAAGTTTGACGCATTTGCTTGCTTACCAGGAAAACAACCAAAAATGAAAAATAAAAATTAAAAATAAAAACTTCTGATAATCATGTGATTTTACTAGTTGTGTCTACATATCTCCCAAGAGTACCCACTTTCTTTTTCCTCATTATTGCTGAATGCAATGCGTTAATACATAGAATTTTAAACTTCATACTAGATAAATTTCAATCAAACAAACTAGGAAAATTAAATAATTAAATTCAATCAAACTCACTTTATAGTAGACAACTTGCTTTTTTTCTCTTTTTATTTCTAGTAAGTATCAAACCCACTTTATACTTAACATCTCATAACTAAGTAAAATTAGTTTGAGGTCCTATGCACAAGATTTCAAAATTGAGAACATAAAGAGAAGGTCAACATAAAGTTTGAAACACAAGGTACAAATTCAAGAGTAGATTAACTTACAGAAGGTGTAAAGCCGTCAAATGGGTTCTTTCCTTCCTTAGATTCTGCTAAGAGTTCTCTAGCAGTTCTGATGTAGGACGCCAAACCTCCAGGATAGCTTGCATTAAGTTTAGCAACCTTTACAGAAAAGAAACACAACAACTATATGTCATGAAGACGTTGAAAAAAATATATATTTTTTCAAGTAAATGAAAATTGAACAATAATTGTAACATCAATCCAACTAAAAGGAAACACCATAGAAATGTATTAAGAAAGATGTGACAGATTCCAAGGGCAAGACAGATATTAATCAGTACAACTTAAACTTCAATTAATGATAAAGTAGTGAACTGTACAGTGGTAAAGCAGTATACCTCAGGTAGTGGTGGCAACAGATATTTAATTAGTACAACTTAAACTTCAATTATTGATAAAGTAGTAAACTTTAGAGTGGTAAAGTAGTAGGTAGTGGTGGCAACAGCAAAAACCAAGCACTTGGTAAAGTTTTGCCATTGTTAAACTTTAGAGTGGATTTTGCAAGTCCACTCCAACTATGGCTCTGCCCAATTTTCCAAATTTGAACGGTTTAAAAGTTTCAATCATTGTTATATTGTTTTGGACATAATTTCACAAATAAAACTTCTGAGCAAATTTGTCGAATTTTTAATCCAAACTAATTAAAAATAGAAAGTACTATTTCAGACTTAGAATCCCAATTTTTCAACCTAAATTTGAATCAGGTTTCAGCTCCAGATACCAAATTCACCAAATCGTTGCAAACAGAGCTGTGCAGGCGTACGACCTCAATTCTTCATAAGCCTCAATTCTTCATGAAAATAAAACACAAACTTTGTGATCCCAACCAAGTGTGCCTTTGTGTATAAAAATTTGTTTACAATCAAACTTACCGGTTACATACCTGATCGAAGAAAGCTCGCTTCTCATCATCATCAACACCAGGCTCAGGCCAATGCTCGAACAGATGACTCTGTCCCATCTCCAACAACATCTTCGGAAGCTCAATCTGCCACAACATAACCAGTCCCAATCAAGCCACTCAATTCAATTATATATACACACACACACATCGATATAAATGATTATATAAACGTATATGTATGTGAGTGTGTGAACCTGCTCGGAAGAGAGGAGGGAGAGGTTTTTCTTAAGATTGGGAGCAGAAGAGGCCCAATCGCCATTGATGTCATGCTTCGAGAGCGTCGAAGCCATTTCGTTATGTGAATCTAACGACTAGCAGATATATATATATATACACACTACAGAACTATGTGAATGAAACGAGGGTCTTGATGGTGAAGAAATTGAGAGAATGTTCGACTTTTAAAATTGTAGAGATGTACAGGAATTTATGTACGTGTCACGTTGCGTGACCTGGGCAGTTTCATAGTTCAACTTATACCCGTGAGAAATTATCCTGTGTGATCCTGGCTTATTTGAATCCTTTATTTATTTACTCGTATTTATTTTTTTTGGCCTACTAATGGCAGTATTGGCACTGACAGAACCAGGATTTCAAGTGAGGGAGGCACATTGTCAAAAAAAAAAAAAACAAAACAATACGGAGTACATATACATACATATATATATATATAACAATCATAAAATTCAAAAAGACAAAGAAGAAGAAAATTATTAAAATATAAAAGAAAAAAAAATGAAAGAACTATAATAGGAAATAGTTAAAAAGTTTCAATAAAGGAAGAGAAATTTGACTTTTTCTACTAAAGAAATTTAAGAAATGTGAAAAGTAAAAGAGAAAATAAAGAAAAAATACGAACATAATTTTAGGAACTACAAATTTGAGGGGGGCACTATATAAATTTTTTCATATATATGAAATTTTTTTTAAAAATTACCACATATATTATAGGTTGCTGGCCAACTCAGGAGGGGCACGTGCCCCCAGGCCTACATTGGCTCCGTCCCTATGTATTGGTCAACTTAAAACATTCTATAATATGCCACTGTACACTTAGGTGACCTAATATGACTTGGGTTTGTAAAACTTAATTGTTTGCTTGGTTTGTAATTTTGAAAATAATTTTCAATAATTAAGAGAACAAAAAATTATTTTCAGAGAATAATATTTTATAGTTTTTAGAAAACAGTTTTCTGAAAACTGAACAAAGTGAGATTTTTGTACTGTTTTTTATTTTCAATTTTCTGAGAATAGAAAATCGTTTTCATAATTACAAACCAAGCAGGCCCTAAAGTACTTGTTTTAAATTTGACCGGTCCGATACGCTCATCGGACGGTGTAATGGGTGCAATCAAAATTTTCTCTTCGGCCGGTCCAATTTAGACCAACTTGAGCCCAGAGTTACAAGTAGGCCTGGGCAGGTTTTTTAACTACAAGACTGGGCTTGGGCTAAATGTTCTCAATAAAAGCCCATTTTCATGTTGGGCTCGGGTTGGGGAGGTTCTAATCGAAGCCTAATCAGAACTTGATTTCTATCACACACACACACACACACACATACATATATATATACTAGTAAAAGGTACGTGCGATGCACATGATGTCATTGAACACTGTTAGGGTTGCAAGTGTTCCAATATGTTCCATACTTGGGTCTATTGTGTTGCATCGAGGACAGTATAAAATTTAATACTACAATTGATCTTAGCCCAAAAAAGAGAAAGGTGTAATTTTTATTTCTTTAGGTCTATAGTTTTATAAGAGGGTTCCATGTAATCTTTTTTACTTAATACCAATGTGGAACAAGAAAAATGAATTTTATTAGGTAATTTGTAATTTTAATTAAACTCTTTAAATAATTATTAGGTAATTTTTTATTTATAAAAACTCTTTTTTTATATTAATAAATAAGATCAAGAAAGGTTAACTAAAAGGTCGATTAAAAAAAATTTAGTACTATACTTGATCTTAGCCAAAAGGCCAAGAAATGTGTGATTATTATTTCTTTAGGTCTATAGTTTTATAAGAGGCTTCCATGTAATCCTTTTTACTTAAAACCAATGTGGGACAAGAAAAATGAATTTTATTAGGTAATGTGTAATTTGAATTAAACTCTTTAAATTAATTTTTATAAATTTTATTAGGTAATTTGTAATTTGAATTAAACCCTTTAAATAATTTTTAGGTAATTTTTTGTTTATAAAAACTCTTTTTTATATTAATAAATAAATACTGAAAGCTAAAAGGCCGAGAAAGTAGTACTACGCCTGATCTTAGCCAAAAGATCAAAAAAAGTTAGCCAAAAGGCCAACCCAAAAACATTTAGTACTATACTTGATCTTAGCCAAAAGGCCGAGAAAGGTATGATTATTATTTATTTAGGTCTATAGTTTTATAAGAGGCTTCCATGTAATTCTTTTTACTTAAAACCAATGTGGGACAAGAAAAATGAATTTTATTAGGTAATTTGTAATTTGAATTAAACTCTTTAAATTAATTTTTATAAATTTTATTAGGTAATTTGTAATTTCAATTAAACTCTTTAAAAAAAAATTTAGGTAATTTTTTGTTTACAATTTTTTTTTTATATTAATAAATAAATACTGAAATATTGAAACTCTTTGTACAAAGGCCGAGAATGTGACAGCCATAGTTTTTAGGCTAGTGCATCAATGATGAATCGAAGATTGACCCGATAACAGATCCGAATGCGGAAGCAAAAAAAAAAAAATAAGACTCTAAGAAGTCAAAGTGACCTTCCATGAGGTCGTGGAACTCAACAAGAACTAATGCGGAAGCAAAAGATCGAAAATATAACAAATAAGCCCCCAGGGGCAAAATAGTTATTTCTAAAAATTGTGAATTCAGGTGCCACCGAGCATACCACTGGAAAGCAACAAAAAAATAATCAAGATGGACTCAAGAATCGCATGATTCAGAGTCCGAACGAAGGAGAAACGGCATGACGAAGAAAAACAAGCACTTAAGGCAAAAATGGTAAACTGGTAATTCTCCAGGAAGATCCGGTTGAAACCGAGTACATCGTTGGAAAGACAGCGAAAAATTAGTCAAGTTAAAGAAAAAAGTTCACTTGATTTAGAGTCCGGACGAGGGAGAAACGAGAGTTTGAAGTTGAGACGTTGCGGCGGCCCAATGAAGGCCATGGCGCGCCCGATGCCCATGCGCGAGCCCACCGGCGCCCAATGGCATGCACATGCTGACAACAAGAAAAAAAATAGGAGTTTCCAGAACTGAGGCTTGAAACGGAGGCCTAAACGAATTTTTCTGGAAAAACACGAAGAAGAAACCCCCCTTAAAATCGAGTTTTCTACTCGGTTAAATGAAAGGAAACGAAAAAAACTCACTGCAAAATCCCCAAAATGCCCCTAAATCAGAACTGGTCAAGAGGAGCAAAAAGCTGTTAAAATGCAAACTGAAAGCTGAAACTTCAAGAGGGATTTCCGGTACCAAGACGACATTTTCTGGAAAAATATAAAGAAAAAATCCCCCCTAAAATCACGTCTTCTAAGTGACCATGTGAAAACCAGAATTTATTTTCCGAAGGGAAACCCCAGAATGCCCTAAAATCAGATTATGTAACAAAATTTTAAATTGAGTCCATAAGAGGCTCATTTCACCAAAGAAGAAGGTTTGCCCGGAAACGACCATGCACGCAAATGTAACTTACCTATTAAGACACGCTACAATGATCCACGGCTTAAAAATACCACCGATGCAAAATTTGACCCCCCCAACGGCCAAAAGGGCAAAAATGCACATGAAATGGAAAATTTGAAATTTAAAATTTACAAATGATTTCAAATTACCATTTGGCCCTTGGCCACACTTCATGCATGATTAATGAGACTTAGTGGAGGTGCCGGAACACAGTTTGCACCACCCGATTTGAAAATGAACCCCTAAATGCTCAGTTTCTACTATTTTGGCCCAAAAATGCAATATGTGAACTAAAATGCAAAAATGAAAACTAAATGGTGTTTGGCCCTTGGCCACACCTCACATATGGCAAATGAATGTTAAAGGATGAATTTCACACAAAATGCACACACCGGTGTAAGAATGACATATCAAAACCCTACTTTTCATACTTTTCTCATTAAAGGCAAAATTCAACATTCATAAATATTCATGAATTTCAAATAAAGTTTGGCCCTTGGCCATAAATTATATATATGGAATGAATGTCAAAAAGTGTGCTTAAGCACATAATATAAGTTTGGAATCAAATATACACATTTGACAAATAAGGCTACAAATAACTTTTCAAGCCAACTTTTACAAGAACGGAACCTTCAAGTCCCCAAATCATCCGAGCATAACGAGAATCTCAACCTTGATTCCTGTACCTAAAATATGCCCCAGTAACTTTGGGGTGAATAACATAAAGCTACTCGTAAGAAATAAGCATACATCGACCTAACATTTTACAATTTTATCACCTTAAGGTGAAACATGCTAAAGAGGCTCATGCCACCTAACGTCTATGTCAAGATGAGACTCAGGGAGCATTCTAAGCTACCCTAAATCATTTCTAGCATCAATCACATCATCCATGCAATTCAAACCACATAGGAGCATGCTATACAAAGCAACATGATATAGATTCTCAAAGTTACCAACTTGAAATCTAAAGTGCAAAATCAACCAAAGTGGGTCATGCCACCTAATGTCTATGTTCCAAATGAATCTATAGGATCACTCCTAAGCTACACTTGAACAACAAAATACAATCACAATATCTATGCAATTTAACCAACATAGAAGCATGTTATACCAAACAATAAGATATAGATTCTCAAAGTAATCAACTTGAAATCTAAAAGTGCGAAATCAACTAAATATAGCAATTTAGTATAATTAGAATATTTAATACCACACATCAAGACATAGATTCTCTAGGTTATCAACTAAAAATCTAAAAGTGCCAAATCAATTAGTGGAATACTTAGACATCTAAGCTCGAAATTCTGCCGAGACCTCAATGGCTATTACGGGGACTAACCCGCTGGTAATACCACCCTTAATGCGCACTATTTCGACGGGGAGAACTCATACCTCCCGCACTAGAGCCAAACTCTAGCCATGTTATAGTAACCATGTCTCAAGTGACTACAAAATAAATAAATTAACAACTTATATACGAAAAATATATATACACAGCACGAAACTATATTCCATGCACAAGTAGGTTGAAACCACACAATACATGCTCTAAATCCACAACTACTATAAAATGACAATGTCGAATCTTCAAAGTGCGATTCATTACGTGCTATAATAACATCACATGTCGAATCTTCAGAGCGCGATTCATTACGCGCTATAATAACATCACATGTTGAATCTTCAGTATGCGATTTGTTACACGCTATAACAATATAATTCAATATTGAAACATAATCGCATA